TGTGAACGTAGATGAGACAGCTATGTACTACGACATGCCGCCGACGTCAATTTGGTCCCGCACCGGCAAGAATGCAAAGATCAGTAGCGGTTAGAAGCACTCATACCGCATGACTGCGGTACTCACGGTTCGAGCTGATGGAACCAAGCTGCCGCTGCTTCTGATTATGAAAGGCATGCCAGGCAGTCTGATTGAGAGGAACGAGTTTGACGAATTCCCAATGGGCCACCACTATGCTGTCCAAGAAAACGCTTGGATACAGCGCGACAGAAGCGACTTGCCATGATCCATCGTGCAGTCAAGGCGTTGGCGCTGATTACACCGCATGAGATTCGCCGTAGTTTTGAGAAAGCAATTCCACGTGCTTGAAATGTCCTACGAGCGAGAAAATAAAGACCTAAATAGTTCTATTAGGTTTTAATATTTTAGACCTCTTTTTTGCTGGTTTTTCTGTTTAGTAGATTTTTTTAGTTTTGACCTCACCCAGGTTCGTGCTCGGGACTAATTGCCATAACCGGTACCCTTATTTTGCACAATATTTCAGTCTGATGGTACCTCCGCCGTAAGGTGGTCAATGGTGGGTGAAGCTGCGAAATGCGAGGGGAACGCTTGTGATAGGGGTGAAGGACTAGTATGGGGCCCTGATTGGGCAGTACGACATTTTTGAAGCCTTATACACTGCTGTATTAGATATGAGTATTGACATATTCCCCGAGTACACTATGTATCGAGCATCGGCAGTTCAATGACTCGTATTATAAAATGTTTTATGTGTTTGAAAAGAATAGAAATTCTAATTCTCCATTTTGGTGGGCTGAAAATTTACTCGTATTTCGAAGCAACTTGCCCAATCATATTTGAATACCATCCCTTAACTCGAAGTACCCGTGCTCCTTAAATTCGATCGCCGTCTGTAACATTACAAATATCATCCCCAGCACCAATCAGTATTTTGGCCCTACTAGTAACTCAGTCAATTCTACTCCGTTTTCCTTCAAATTTCGCGGGAAATGACCGCACTGATTGGCCCGATCGTTTGGCGAATTGACTGATTCGTGCATCAATGGCGCCATGAATTGCCGCAAGACGTCTGACCAAATCCGACGATGTTTATCGGGTCCATATAATGCTGATTTGACGAGGTCCATCGTCTCAAATCAAGGTGAAAATGTGATCTTGGCATCATTAACCGGAAAAATATGGTCCCACAAGGCTTGTGTAAATACCCCAAATAGTGATAATAGTGATACAGTATAAAACTGTTTGATACAATAAATGCACAACACAGAATAGGTAGGAAACAGAATGCCAGATGCGAACCTCGAAACGGGGACGCCAGATTCCACACTACCAGTCCAAACCGATACACTAACAGTAAGATATCTTCTCCGAATTTTTTCAACAAATAATCATATTGAATGTATAATAATGACTCTATCGTCTGGCGGATGGTTAGCGGGTTTCGGTTCAGGATGGATGGCCGTGTACTATCCCAGGCGCGCAGCTATCCTGGCCACAAAAGCGCAGATGGCGCTGTGATAGAGGCAACGGTCGTATGACGTGTCTCTAGGTGCAACGCTCGTACGCCTTGGAGGGCTAATCGGAGTGAGAGAGGAGTGGACATTGGTCATGTGAGTTTTATATAGGACACAGCCACGAGGACAGCCGTGGTAGTCACAAGGGCTGCAGCTGTGATGATAGCAGCTCTTGTGGTGGTCAAATGGGCAACAGTCATGATTATAGTGTAATCTGTAGGGGCATTGCTCGTATGAAGTGACTGTTGGGACTTTCAGATGAGGTTTGGAGCGATCCCATCAGTGTTAGAAAGGGTTGATCCTTAGAGACATCCATGTTCCAGGCGCAGCTCTCGTGGGTATAAAGGCACCGATGGTGGTCGCATGTACGCTTGTTTTAGTGAAAGATGTAACCATGGTGGAGCGGTGATAGCGATAATGGGAGCCGTGGTGGTCTTAAGCACATGGTTAAATGTGACAGGTGCAGATTATGTGGGGCAGTCGTGATGATGGCGATCGCTGTGTTAGTTACAACCGAATAGATTGTGGTTACATGAGCAACAGTGACAGAGCGTGTATATTACAGGCGCTGAGGTCGTGCGATCGTTTTGATAAGGATGGTCATGGAGATGATAGGGGCTGCCGTGGTGTTGTGGTGGGTGACGTCATCCAAGGTCCGCTATGAAACAGGTAGTCATCAACCGATGCCACCAGGAGCCGACCTTAGGCGAACGAACACAAAAGTCCTTAGTATTTCTAGTAGTACTATGACATAGAAAACTCAATCCAACTGCCCGTATCTTACGCTAGTTCCTGCAACGCCGTCGTAACATCAAGTCAATTAAATGTGTGGTTTGCAAGGAGTCGGCACTCCCCCATTAGGTTGTTTGTGTTGACACTGGTGTGGGAAAAACACACGTGGTCGGCATGAGCAGCAGCCCTGACTTATGCAGGAAACCGTGGTGGAATGGTCGTCATGGTAGCCTAGACACATCTACACACTCTCATAAATAAGTTTGTGCCGGTCTACATACTCAAACTCTTCTTTATTGACCAAACGCTTAGAATTCAGAACATAAATTTATGACTATGACTACGTATTGGAAAGAAGATTGTACAAGGTTAGGCTCGAAACGGGAACGCCAGCATCATAGGATTTACCCTAAACCGTTACACTATTAGCATCAGTGTGATATTGACTGTTGTAGTATTCTGAGTTTATCCGAAACGGCACACATTTGAAACCGCTCTGTATCAACATAAATAACTCACAATTACGGTAACCTCTCCACGAGATATACTATCTGTGCTATAAATACTAACAAACATATAATAAATACATATATTTGCTATAAATATATATATATTGATGTATATATTAGTCAATATTCATATTACGGAGATAAATACAAATATATATATATTATATCTAATAGTATACGTATC